TTCTCTCCCTCCTCCCAGCTTTTGAAAGTATCTTGTCTCCTCATTGGTCATTTTGGTCAGGTGCCAGCGAGGTTACCTTTAGCTTCTTAACCCTTTACAGGTGAGAGGAGCTTTCCCCTGGCCAGGAGGGATTTCAAAGGGGTTTACCCTTCCCTTTATATTTATGACAGTTCTGTTCTTTGCTTTAATATGCAGGAAAGCATATTCAGAATAGAGCAAATTTCCCCTTATGACCAAATTTAAAAATCCCTTTATGAACCAATCACTCAGCAAACCAGTCTTTATTCTAAACACACATTTTGCATTGTGTATTTGTAAGAATTTTTTTTAAAAAAAAAATCCTTTTTTTTCCCCACCTTTGAAAGAACTGGAAATTAAAATCACAAAGTACTTAGAAACAAAGATGACAAAAACCAAACAACCCAAACCAACATATGCTGGAAGTGAAGTGCATATATTATTTCAGCAAACCAGCTAAATTTTGAGTTTAAATTAGATCTAAAAAAATCCTCAGAATGTCTGAGCTTTTATAAATTCATTATGAGTGTTTGTTTTCATGCTTCCATAGCCTTTCTGTGAAATCTGTGACAACCTCTTTATGTCTAAAGAAATTTAAAACCCCTTTGAAATTCCCTGAGCTGCTAAAAGATCTCATCAAAAGATACTGCTGTAGTATCAAGAAGAGTTTGAAGAATTCTGCCTTAAAGTTTTGCCAGAGATTTCAGCTTCCCTCTGTCTTTCTTTCATTATCAAACGGAATTCTGGCTTGTCTGCCTTTGGGCTAAGCAATTCCTGAGATACTTCCAATTCCACAGCTTGCTGCAAAGTTTTAGATAAAAAGGTGTTTTCTCTCTGCTCCTCTCTGTCTGTATAATCTCTGAACTTTCATGGTGCATTCAAAATAATTGAGAGTACTGTGAGGACATAACAGGAAAACATTGTTGGATGATTCTGACATTATTTGCTTCCCCAGTTGGCAACAGCAAAACATGTCAATAATCTATTAAACAAAACATGCATGAACCACCTGTCAAAAATGTTAACCTAATTTTACTGTACAAATTTATCATATTTCTTTCTAATTTTACTGTACAACCGTAACAGCTGCTTTAAAGATGCCACTTGAAAGTAGTGAAAGCTGCCTGCATGGTTGCATCACGATCTAGAGGTAGTTCAAACACAGAGTGATCTTGTTGGATCACTCTTCTCCCACATTAGCAAGATCAGGAGATCATCACCATCCACAGTCTGAATGTCACTTCTGTGACAAACCAGGTTTGGCCCCTTACAGAGTCCTATGCCACTGCTAGCAATGAGAGAACCAGTTTGGACAAAATAAGACATAAATGGAATATTCTGGACATTCAGAATGGTTCCTTCCTTCTCTCTTCTCCCTCTGTCTCTCACTGCCCTTGTTTTTGCGTATCTCTGCACTTGGTTTCATTTCAGGCCACAAAGTGGCTAAGTACGAACAGAGAAGATGTTCTTGTGGTATTTCTAAACTAAATGGAATAGGAAGCATCACAACACTGTGTAGAAAGCCTGTCCCTGCAACATACGTGTCTTTATTTCTAGACCAACGAATTCCAGATAAAATTGAATTTAGAGATATTTTTACTAAAATGGATCCAGTTTACTGTGTGCTTTTACAATAACAATTAATGCAATAGCACTGACCAAATGCTCATGCTGTGGCTGGTTTGCTGCACGCTCTTACCTGCATTTTGGCTATACTGGGGGCTGTGTCCCATAATATTTTTATTGTGTGCAAGTAATGTGTAGTCACAGAGTTTAGCGGCCTTCTAGTACAAATGAGCAAAACTAAGGAGCATGTAGTTTCAGTGGTCCATGATTGCTGTGGGTTTCTGCAAGGAATTTATTGTATTAGTTGCAACCTTTAAGTCCCTGTCTGATTTGGGTCCAGGTAAAAAGAGACATCACCCCTTTCCTTGCTACACGTGGAGCCATGGGAGGCACACAAGCTGTCCAAATCTCCCTGAGCTGTCTAGCTCTCTAAGGTTTGCCTTTTCACTGAGTCTAACATTATTTTCAAGGTTAGCAACTCAGAAGTTTCCCCAAACTGGATGAGAGCCAAGGAGGGAACCAACTTTGGAAGGCTTGTGTTTAAACTGAGAGATTAGGTCAGCCTACCTTTTTCTCTTCTAAGGGTATGTCTACACTACGGAATAAGGTCGAATTTATAGAAGTCGTTTTTTTAGAAATCGGTTTTATATATTCGAGTGTGTGTGTCCCCACAGAAAATGCTCTAAGTGCATTAAGTGCATTAACTTGGCGGAGTGCTTCCACAGTACCGAGGCTAGAGTCGACTTCCGGAGCGTTGCACTGTGGGTAGCTATCCCACAGTTCCCGCAGTCTCCGCTGCCCATTGGAATTCTGGGTTGAGATCCCAATGCCTGATGGGGCTAAAACATTGTCGCGGGTGGTTCTGGGTACATATCGTCAGGCCCCCGTTCCCTCCCTCCCTCCGTGAAAGCAAGGGCAGACAATCGTTTCGCGCCTTTTTTCCTGAGTTACCTGTGCAGACGCCATACCACGGCAAGCATGGAGCCTGCTCAGGTAACCGTCACCCTATGTCTCCTGGGTGCTGGCAGACGCGGTACGGCTTTGCTGCACAGTAGCAGCAACCCATTGCCTTCTGGCAGCAGACGGTGCAATACGACTGGTAGTCATCCTCGTCGTGTCCGAGGTGCTCCTGGCCACGTCGGCTGGGAGCGCCTGGGCAGACATGGGCGCAGGGACTAAATTTGGAGTGACTTGACCAGGTCATTCTCTTTAGTCCTGCAGTCAGTCCTATTGAACCGTCTTATGGTGAGTGGGCAGGCGATACGGACTGCTAGCAGTCGTACTGTACCATCTTCTGCCAGGCAGGCAAGAGATGAGGATTGCTAGTAGTCGTATTGTACCATCTTCTGCCAGGCAGGCAAGAGATGAGGATGGCTAGCAGTCGTACTGTACCATCTTCTGCCGAGCAGCCATGAGATGTGGATGGCATGCAGTCCTTCTGCACTGTCTGCTGCCAGCCAAAGATGTAAAAGATAGATGGAGTGGGTCAAAACAAGAAATAGACCAGATTTGTTTTGTACTCATTTGCCTCCTCCCCTGTCTAGGGGACTCATTCCTCTAGGTCACACTGCAGTCACTCACAGAGAAGGTGCAGCGAGGTAAATCTAGCCATGTATCAATCAGAGGCCAGGCTAACCTCCTTGTTCCAATAAGAACGATAACTTAGGTGCACCATTTCTTATTGGAACCCTCCGTGAAGTCCTGCCTGAAATACTCCTTGATGTAAAGACACCCCCTTTGTTGATTTTAGCTCCCTGAAGCCAACCCTGTAAGCCGTGTCGTCAGTCGCCCCTCCCTCCGTCAGAGCAACGGCAGACAATCATTCCGTGCCTTTTTTCTGTGCGGACGCCATACCAAGGCAAGCATGGAGGCCGCTCAGCTCACTTTGGCAATTAGGAGCACATTAAACACCACACGCATTATCCAGCAGTATATGCACCACCAGAACCTGGCAAAGCAATACCGGGCGAGGAGGCGACGTCAGCGCGGTCACGTGAGTGATCAGGACATGGACACAGATTTCTCTGAAAGCATGGGCCCTGCCAATGCATGCATCATGGTGCTAATGGGGCAGGTTCATGCTGTGGAATGCCGATTCTGGGCTCGGGAAACAAGCACAGACTGGTGGGACCGCATAGTGTTGCAGGTCTGGGACGATTCCCAGTGGCTGTGAAACTTTCGCATGCGTAAGGGCACTTTCATGGAACTTTGTGACTTGCTTTCCCCTGCCCTGAGGCACATGAATACCAAGATGAGAGCAGCCCTCACAGTTGAGAAGCGAGTGGCGATAGCCCTGTGGAAGCTTGCAACACCAGACAGCTACCGGTCAGTTGGGAATCAATTTGGAGTGGGCAAATCTACTGTGGGGGCTGCTGTGATGCAAGTAGCCCACGCAATCAAAGATCTGCTGATATCAAGGGTAGTGACCCTGGGAAATGTGCAGGTCATAGTGGATGGCTTTGCTGCAATGGGATTCCCTAACTGTGGTGGGGCTATAGACGGAACCCATATCCCTATCTTGGCACCGGAGCACCAAGCCACCGAGTACATAAACCGCAAGGGGTACTTTTCGATAGTGCTGCAAGCTCTGGTGGATCACAAGGGACGTTTCACCAACATCAACGTGGGATGGCCGGGAAAGGTGCATGATGCTCGCATCTTCAGGAACTCTGGTCTGTTTCAAAAGCTGCAGGAAGGGACTTTATTCCCAGACCAGAAAATAACTGTTGGGGATGTTGAAATGCCTATATGTATCCTTGGGGACCCAGCCTACCCCTTAATGCCATGGCTCATGAAGCCGTACACAGGCAGCCTGGACAGTAGTCAGGAGCTGTTCAACTACAGGCTGAGCAAGTGCAGAATGGTGGTAGAATGTGCATTTGGACATTTAAAGGCGCGCTGGCGCAGTTTACTGACTCGCTTAGACCTCAGCAAAACCAATATTCCCACTGTTATTACTGCTTGCTGTGTGCTCCACAATATCTGTGAGAGTAAGGGGGAGACGTTTATGGCGGGGTGGGAGGTTGAGGCAAATCGCCTGGCTGCTGGTTACGCGCAGCCAGACACCAGGGCGGTTAGAAGAGCACAGGAGGGCGCGGTACGCATCAGAGAAGCTTTGAAAACCAGTTTCATGACTGGCCAGGCTACGGTGTGAAAGTTCTGTTTGTTTCTCCTTGATGAAACCCCCCGCCCCTTGGTTCACTCTACTTCCCTGTAAGCTAACCACCCACCCCTCCTCCCTTCAATCACCGCTTGCAGAGGCAATAAAGTCATTGTTGCTTCACATTCATGCATTCTTTATTCATTCATCACACAAATAGGGGGATGACTACCAAGGTAGCCCAGGAGGGGTGGTGGAGGAGGGAAGGAAAATGCCACACAGCACTTAAAGCACAGCACTTTAAAAGTTTACAACTTTAAAATTTATTGAATGACAGCCTTCTTTTTTGGGGGCAATCCTCTGTGGTGGAGTGGCTGGTTGGCCGGAGGCCCCCCCACCGCATTCTTGGGCGTCTGGGTGTGGAGGCTATGGAACTTGGGGAGGAGGGCGGTTGGTTACAGAGGGACTGCAGTGGCAGTCTGTGCTCCAGCTGCCTTTGCTGCAGCTCACCCATACACTGGAGCATACTGGTTTGGTCCTCCAGCAGCCTCAGCATTGAATCCTGCCTCCTCTCATCACGCTGCCACCACATTTGAGCTTCAGCCCTGTCTTCAGCCCGCCACTTACTCTCTTCAGCCCGCCACCTCTCCTCCTGGTCATTTTGTGCTTTCCTGCACTCTGACATTATTTGCCTCCACGCATTCGTCTGTGCTTTGTCAGTGTGGGAGGACAGCATGAGCTCGGAGAACATTTCATCGCGAGTGCGTTTTTTTTTCTTTCTAAGCTTCACTAGCCTCTGGGAAGGAGAAGATCCTGTGATCATTGAAACACATGCAGCTGGTGGAGAAAAAAAAAGGGACAGCGGTATTTAAAAAGACACATTTTATAAAACAGTGGCTACACTCTTTCAGGGTAAACCTTGCTGTTAACATTACATACATAGCACATGTGCTTTCGTTACAAGGTCGCATTTTGCCTCCTCCCACCGCGTGACTACCCCCTCAACCTTCCCCCCTCCCTGTGGCTAACAGCGGGGAACATTTCTGTTTAGCCACAGGCAAACAGCCCAGCAGGAATGGGCTCCTCTGAGTGTCCCCTGAAGAAAAGCACTCTATTTCAATCAGGTGACCATGAATTATATCTCACTCTCCTGAGGATAACACAGAGAGATAAAGAACGGATGTTGTTTGAATGCCAGCAAACATACACTGCAATGCTTTGTTCTACAATGATTCCCGAGTACGTGTTACTGGCCTGGAGTGGTAAAGTGTCCTACCATGAAGGACGCAATAAGGCTGCCCTCCCCAGAAACCTTTTGCAAAGGCTTTAGGACTACATCTAGGAGAACCGCAAATACCAGGGCAAAGTAATCCTTTCACATGCTTGCTTTTAAACCATGTATAGTATTTTAAAAGGTACACTCACCAGAGGTCCCTTCTCCGCCTGCTGGGTCCAGGAGGCAGCCTTGGGTGGGTTCGGGGGGTACTGGCTCCAGGTCTAGGGTGAGAAACAGTTCCTGGCTGTCGGGAAAACCGGTTTCTCCGCTTGCTTGCTGTGAGCTATCTACAACCTCCTCCTCATCATCATCTTCTTCGTCCCCAAAACCTGCTTCCGTATTGCCTCCATCTCCATTGAAGGAGTCAAACAACACGGCTGGGGTAGTGGTGGCTGAACCCCCTAAAATGGCATGCAGCTCATCATAGAAGCGGCATGTTTGGGGCTCTGACCCAGAGCGGCTGTTCACCTCTCTGGTTTTCTGGTAGGCTTGCCTCAGCTCCTTCAGTTTCACGCGGCACTGCTTCAGGTCCCTGTTATGGCCTCTGTCCTTCATGCCCTGGGAGATTTTGACAAAGGTTTTGGCATTTCGAAAACTGGAATGGAGTTCTGATAGCACGGATTCCTCTCCCCAAACAGCGATCAGATCCCGTACCTCCCGTTCGGTCCATGCTGGAGCTCTTTTGCGATTCTGGGACTCCATCATGGTCACCTGTGCTGATGAGCTCTGCATGGTCACCTGCAGCTTGCCACGCTGGCCAAACAGGAAATGAGATTCAAAAGTTCGCGGTTCTTTTCCTGTCTACCTGGCTAGTGCATCTGAGTTGAGAGTGCTGTCCAGAGCGGTCATAATGGAGCACTCTGGGATAGCTCCCGGAGGCCAATACCATCGAATTGTGTCCACAGTACCCCAAATTCGAGCCGGCAACGTCGATTTAAGCGCTAATCCACTTGTCAGGGGTGGAGTAAGGAAATCAATTTTAAGAGCCCTTTAAGTCGAAATAAAGGGCTTCATTGTGTGGATGGGTGCAGGTTTACATCGATTTAATGCTGCTAAATTCGACCTAAAGTCCTAGTGTAGACCAGGGCTAAGAGATGGATCCATCCCCATCTGACAGCAGCTTCAAATATCTGCCACTATTGCATTAAAATAGTCTGTTCCTCTTGAGTGAAGTTGGAGATGAAAGCCTGCTCAGCTGTCCAAAGGGCTGACTATGCAGATATCTTCTGGGGCGCATCAGACTAGATGGAAAGTTCAGTCTTTATTTAGAAAAAAAATACTACTACTGAATTGAAGGAGATAGAAGTCGTGTAAATTAACTGAGCACAGTGTGGGCAGTGCAAGCTGATACTGCTTTATTGCCAGCATTTTGCTGTAAAATAAAACCAAAACCAGTTTGTGGCCATTAGAGAATTACTTGGCAGATATATGTGTATATATTTTTACCCCAATTGCACTGGTGTTTGTTCAAAACAGTTCTTTACTGAGGCTATGTCTAGACTACCACTTACGTTGATGTAACTTGTGTCGCTCAGGGGTGTGAATAAGCGACATAAGTTACACCACCCTAAGCGCCGATGTCAACATCACTATGTAAGTGAGAGAGCTTCTCTCGCTGGCATAGCTGCCGCCGCTCATTCAGGGTGAATTAATTAAGTCGATGGGAGACCTCTCCCCCGTTGGCTTAGAGCATCTACGCTAGCCATTGTGAGCTCTCTAGTTTCTCCATAGCCTGAATAGCTACTTGTGAAACAAGAAATAAAATGAAAGGCAAGTTTTCATTAGTCATCACCTATATCCTGGACCCATTTTCAAGACTGACTGCTTTGTATTATTATGCTCAAGTGAGATGCACATAGACATGCAAACAGGGCAAATGCTCATTTGTATTTGCAAATGTGAGATCGGAGCATGCACCTTAAGCGACTATTTGGGGATTGGGCTTCATGGGTTTAGAACCAAATGCTCTGTAGGAGATAATGGAGTTACACTAATTGATCCCCAGCTGACTATTTAGCCTTCAATTTGTAATCAATGTGTAAATTTTATAATCAGTTAATATAGTCAAAAATAAAATTTTCACACAGTTGATTATGCATTTCTTAAAAAGTTATAATTTGCAATTTAAGTGCAGTGGTAGTGATGTTTTTGTTATTGTGTTTTTGTTTTTTTTGTGGGATTTGTTTAATCTGCATACAACAAGAACAGAATCTTTTGTTTCCATTTGTTGGGTTATTATAAAGATGAGATAGCTAGATCCGAAATCTCCATTGATATGTACTGGTGAGATATTGTCAGTACATATGTAAAGATAACTTTCATTATTTTACTTTTATATATTTTTAATTACATAATAGTGATTTACATAAATGTCAGCAACATCAGATTGCAAGGATACAAAACATTCCTAAAGCAAATATTTGCAAATTTCCAGTTTCTAAGATCAAAATAGTTTTCTGCTGATAACAGCAATGTAAAAAAGTTCTTAAATCTTTATCACAGTGCAACAAAGTAACAACTAATTCTTAATTTCCAAATTTCACAAAGGCAAAATAATCTGGTAATGTTTTTGACAGTGATACTAACAGGCTCTTCACATTGGCATCCAATTGAAATATGCATCAAAATACATCATTATGAATGTATCCATTTCACTGTTAATTAATGCAAATTAAACCATCCTAGATGATATGTTTTGCTTTTTGCCTGTAGACTAACACTAATGCTAAACACAGCATTACCAAAAGAAGCTCAGGTACTGTGTACAGCTCTGGAGGGTTTATCAGATCTTATGTTTTATATAGAGAATGCTAGTGTGCAATGTCTTCTTAACCTTCTTTTCAGGAAGGAATTTTTTTACATGGAGTACAGTCAAAGCCCCACTGAAATTAACACAGTACAATCCTGGTTCATGATTAGAGTTCCTAGGCACTACACTAATACAAATAATAATAATTAATAAATAATATAACATAGGAGGTCAGGCTCATGGAGAAAATACAATTTCACGAAGAAGTGCGAGTCAGGAATTACTCCTCCCAAAAGTATTTATCCACAGTGAACCAACTGGGGGATACTTTTTCCATGGACCCTTGTAAGTCTTGGTCCTGCTCTCAGTTGTGCAACAGAGGTTCAGTCTTACAAGATAATAAGCTCATTAGCACACAGTGAGTCCCAGTGAAATCAATGGGATGCCTCATATTCTTACAGTTAAGCATGATGCTTTGTTGCTGAGAGTGCTCAGCACCTTGCAGGATCCAGCCCATGAAGCTCCTTGCAGGATCCAGCCAATGCAAGTCACCAAACACTAGCTCATGGTGTGAGTGATATTTACACGGGAGGATATAGCTCTGAAGCATTCAAACATCTTCAAAAGTATTTGTTTACTCACTGAGATTCTCCCCAAAAGGGCGTGCTTCGTGAAAAGTGGGTCATTTTATCCCTAAGCATCAGTTATTCATATCCTATCATCTCAAATGAGTGAATTAGGAACTCATTTTTTAGAGTGTGTAAATTATTCTATACATATGGTGGAATAAACAAGACACATGAATCTCCCCAGATGCACAGTGATTCAATCGAGAGCTGTCTGCCTTCATACCATTCTACACATCTTTGAGATAAATCAGAGATTCAAATGCAAAATCCAGGATGATAGGGACATCATGTGGATTTGTAAGAACCCCGTGGGGGCCTTGGGGTCTATAATCTAATGAATGGATTACACTCATCCATCTCATATGTCCTATAAATATGGGACGAGGTTAGGCTAAAAAAGAGAGCCGTGCAGGTAGCAGCGTTTTGTGGCATGTTGCATGAATGTCAGTGAAGTGAAAGGCAAAACTGAACACTAAGAGTCATCCTGTAGATTTGTAATCTTCCCTTTTGGTTGTATTACCCATAAAACAACGAGTGGATCATACACATCACTGTACAACATGCTAATTTTCATCACTGATCATTAAAAATTGAGATTATTTCACAGCTGTAGCTCACGAAAGCTTATGCTCAAATAAATTGGTTAGTCTCTAAGATGCCACAAGTACTCCTGTTCTTTTCACAAATGAAGAATTCTAAATACAATGCAATCCAGTTACTAATATATTTTAAGGTTTTCATCTTCTTATTCAGCTGTTTCAAACCATCACATGAGAGAGAATCCAAAGAAATGGAGATTCTTTCTAAAAATGTGAAAGAGATTGCAGCATTTCCTGGCATGTGATATATGTTTCTCAAAGAACGGTCAGGCATCACTTTAAAAAAACAACAAAAAAACCACACACTTTGTCATGCTTTTTTCTTCATTGACCTGTATGCTACATGCCAATAAAGTACCACAGAGCTTCCTGTTTCTCTTTGGAAACTAACCTTATAGCAGCAGTAGGCTGATTACATTAACTGAGAGATGTTAAGTCTAGCATAAACTTTCATGATATTTGTTTTCCATTAATATTTTAGTCAATAAGTTTAGTGGCAAGAATATTCATAGAGAACCAGATCAGGAAAGCATCCCTATTCAGGAAAGGAAAGCATCCCTATTAAACATGGGCCTAACTTTAAGTACTTGCTTCTGTCCCATGGATGACAATGGGACTTAAGGACGTCCCTAAATGTAACCATATGCATAACCGCTGTTTTCAATAATCATGACCTTCAGTGTAAATTTGTGCTTTTCCTGAATCAGGGACAGAAACAGCACATTTTAAGCAAATGTTGCAGAAATTGAATTTCAAATTTCCAATCCTTAAATTTCACCAGCAACCTGATTCTATGAGTTACACGTATCTAATCAGGCCACAGACACATGCCATGTGTCACTTGTTCAATCTAAAAAACTCAGACTTTGAATATCAAACTCTCTCAGTGAAAGACATCCAAACATGTTACAGGCTATGGAAAATTTCAGGGAATTTTTTTGGTAAATAATTCTGAACAATGAATAGATTCAAGAAAATCCCAATTTTGTGGCCAATTCAAGAACAAGATAAAGAAAAAAAGGTGAAATTTCCTGAATAAATTATTTCTTATGAATTATTCACGCAGGGCTGTTTAGGATTATCCGTCATGACAAACTATGTCAGATTATCAGTTGAGACCTTGTTCCATCAACAGAGACATAGTCTGCAGTAATTGTACTTCAGACAATGCAGTTTCTAGTTGCTGTAATGGACAAGGATGGAGGAGAGATGATGAGACAGTGATATAGATGATAAATATGAAGGAACAAGCATGATCTATTGTACACAGAAAACATGTACAATCCCTACTGAAAAGTGTGGAAATTGGGTTTGTAGGGCAATACACAAGGAAGAGGCCCTTCAAAACACATAACTGCAGCAACTAAAACAAAAATAAGAGTCAAGATATTGTATAAACCCTGCTGCCCTAATAATATGCAGATACATCCTGTACAATGTTCCCTAGTGCACTTCATTTTCAGCATTTGGCTCTTAATCTGACATTAAAAAGGGAAAACATGTTTCACGTACTGCTGTCATGCTGTTTTTGAGTCTGTTCTCAACCCCACAACTTTCAGGAATGCATAGCGAAATCTGCAATATTTAAGTGGCTTACTATGTTGTTGTTGTATGAGCCACATGCAATCCTTTTGTCACATAGGCAAAACTCCATGGCTTGTCTCCCTTGTTTATTTTTCTTTAGTGATGGCACTGGACTATCACACTTATCACTACAAATAAAACTGAGAATTTGTTTCTGTTGTTCTTTTATATTCTTTGTGTTGGGTGATGAGGAGAGAAAGGGACGAGAACAATATAATGAAAAGTGTATAGGAAAAATACTGCAGCACTCACTGTTAAACCTGGGCCTTAGCTGATTTTAGATATATGTAGGATAACTCTTCTGTACTATAGTTTTTCAATACGTGTCATTAGATTCAGAATTTAAGCAGGACAGCATCAAAAATAGCCTTTTGCTCTCTCCTTGACCTCACTGGTGAAACCCCTGGAAGCCACTGATCAGTCCCTACCTTTAATGCTATCCCATAGAACAAAGGGTCACCCATTGGAATGAATAGCAGG